ATCACTGGGTTAAATAAAAGCATTTCTAAAATTAGTAAGGAAAGATCAGCAGGTGTTGGTGGTTTTCTGCTGGCTGGCTCACAGCAGAGGAATTGCAGAGAATCAGAACAGAGAGCTAGTGCTACAAATTACATGGTAAATTAAAGCAGCTCAACTTTTAATTGTCATCTCACCTCAGTATCAGCTTTTGAATTGTGTTTAATGGACACACTTGCTATTGCACCTCATTTGCAGGTCTAACTTGAGTGTTTATAGATCAGTAATCACCATGGTATCTATAGATCCTAATTAAACACAATTATCTTTCAGGACTAGTGATGAAACAGGATTCTTCAGCATAATATACAGTTCTGCCTCAATAGCACTGTGTAATTAGGTATGAAAATAATGAGCTCAGTGGATAACCTCCATGTTTTAGTGCCCTGACTCATCTGTTTTATGATGTTGTCTGATGATCTAGACTCATGACAGGCTGGAGTAGATTTTCAGATGATTACATGATGTACAGGTTCGCCCCCGTGGTGAGATCCAGCTCCCAAGTGCCCATCTGTAACATGCTTCACCTGTTAAGATTAAAGGTTTTGTCAGCAGAGGTCACCTCTTTGGGACACTATGGCTGTACGCTGCTGCCCTCAGAATGACACCGCAGAGCCATCAGTAAAGCAGCAGTTCGGCGGCTTCTCAGAGGAGCAGGGTCCCTCTGCACGGGGGAGCGAGCCTGGGTTACCACACTGAGCAAGGAAGACAAAACAGAATGGAGTCAACCCAGAGGCTATCTGGGATTACAAGGCAGGTTTTTAATAGCATTTTTCTAATTACTGACACAGAAGTTTTTGCTGACAGACAGCAAGTGTGTGCGTGGCTGTGGGAAGGATTTTACCTGGCACGGAACAGACGCTACTAATACATGTCTTTACAAGGACAATACTTCAGAAAAATCCTCAGACTGGCTATAGGAAAAAACCTAGCAACTGAAAACACACTTTCAAGCTGTAAGCAAACAAAGTGATTTTTTGCTCCTTGGAGTTTGGTTCTTTGCTTGGTTTTTTGGCTAATCAGATATGTGAATCTGGAAATTTGGCTTAATATTAAACCTATGTTACTTTTTTTTATTTGGCATATGAGATGACTCCTTATTACTTCCTGTCATGACACGGCAGATGAATGGCAGTGTGACAATATTAAGCATCTCATTTTTCTTCCAGCACACGCTGAACTATAAAATTGCATCTGCACTGTCTTCTTCACCCACAAACTTGGACAAGTCACTTAAGACCAAGGTTTAATCAAAAGTCCTTAGGTACCTAAATGAACAGAAAGTCCCACAAGGTCACAAATAGATGGAAATCTGGTGCACAGGTGCCTTAGAAATTCCAAGAAAGCATCCATCTGGTCCTGCTGACTCATAAGCATCCTCAAAAAAAAAAAGACATTTAGCCTACCTTCAACTCACCAGCTAGCTCAGTATCTCTCCTGTAGTTAGAGGATAACGAAATACACTGTGGTACACTAATACTAATAAATAATGGTTATGCCATGCTTTGCTAAGCAGACAGGTATAAACACGCTAAATATGAAGACTGTGCCCCTGGTGAAGCCCCTGGGTAAATTTTTCAAAAGTGCCTAGATGATTTAGAAGCATAAGACTCATTTTCAAATGAATTTCAATCCCAAATCTCTAGGACTTTTTAAAGTTTCACCCCAGGTGTCTGAAAATGAGTTTTCTAATTAGCACAACATTTATTTTCTTGTTAACGCCATCTAGCCTCAGGGAGACCAAGCTGTTCTTGTGAACTGGGGATATCTGCAGCAAATTTAACTAAATGAATTTGCTTAGTATTTAGGCTGGTCTGAGAGCAAAATCTGGCTCAAGAGCTTGAACAAGCAAAGTGCAACCTACAGAATAAAGTTCATTCAAAAGCATCTTAGGGCTAGACCATATGTTTGTCCCTGAGATATCCTCATGCTATGACTACTGCTTCCTATGAATGAATGTTAAAAGACAGAAATCATTTTGCTCATGGCATTACTTGTTTGCAAGAGGGTAACACCAGTAAGGGATGCAACACCTCATCATCACACTCTTGTTTTTTAAAAGGTGTTCCGCTTTTTATTTCTGCCAGTCTTCCCTGTGCTGGTAACAGCATTTTTCTGCTGGGGCTGAGCTACACTCCAATCTGACACAGACAACTAGATGTATTTTTCACAAGGTGCACTGCAAACCCTTGGGCTCCTGCATAGACTAGATTTGTCACGTGAGTGAGCAGTAGAAAAATTTCAAGTTTCACAAGTTCAAAGTAGTGTTTCAATTAGCAAACAGCTATGTGCACCACACATAATGCACTAAAAAGAGTTTTGTCTAAAAAATTGCTTCTACTAAATGACAGAACAACTGCGTTTCCTTCAGAATGATGTTATTTTGAAAAACAATTCACTATTAATACCTCTTACAAAAGTTATTTTGTTTAGGCTGCAACTAGAATAATTTTCAAAGCATTTGAATGTCTATGCAGTGGTATCCCAGTATCATCACATCAGCATTTGATATAAAAACGTTAAGCTTTTATTTAATGAGAGTCATTTAAAATATGTAAATGTCAAAAGGATTACCTTAGAAAAATCTCTCAGAGAATTAAAAACATTAGCAGATTCCCACAGGAAAAATTCCAGCAGAATTCAGCAACTCTCCTGTTCCCACTCCTGTCACTTGTATTTCTATCACACATTGAAGCAAAAACAAATTGCTATTAAAATATCATCCAAATACTCTCCTCCCCCTACAAACTCCACGGTTCAGTCTGAGATACCAATGACTCAAGTAAAGACAAATAAAAAAATCCTCTTTTTTTTTTTTTTTCTTTAGGCTTATTTAGAGTAGTAAAAACTCAGAGCTAAAAGAGCTTTTTCAGGTATAGGAGAAATAAATCTCTCTAGGCATGTCTGGCAAATTGATTTGGGGCTGAAAGCAGCAGGTGTGCACACATAATTACTACTGCAAAATATTCAATGCATCCAGGTGTGCTCACAAACAGATACACAAAATCCCTGTTATTTTTTGAAAATTCCTAGTCTATCAGGTGCCACTCTCTCAAATGAAAAATCAGAGCAAAGATTGAGTGAAGACATGAATAAACTGCTCTTCCCTCTTCACAGTCTGTTTCCTTTTCACTGATACAAAACCCCCTTTTCAGCCTGCACTCCTGTGCGTACCTGCACTCACTCAGACGTCCTGTGACCCTGCCATGTTCTAGTGCACAGGCACGTTTTCAAAGCAGGGCACTAGCTCTAACTGCAGAGGAAGTAAAAGACTCCCTCAAATTAATAACACAACGCAAACAATTTTGTTTATTCTGTTACGTTTATGATCTCCAGCATTAAAATACAGCAGGCAGCCCAGTAAGAGCCTTTCTGAACACATTCCCATGTTTCCAGCCTGTAACCCACTGCAGGCAACTATGCTGCACCATGGTTAAACTATGGACTATCCTCTGCCCAAGAAACACCCTTGTAACACAGCTGCCTGTGGATACCAGGGCCCTTCCTCCTGCAGCTGACTAGCACCTTAAGGGCTGGTGTGCGAGTTACTCGAGTAGCAAAGGTAAATCAGGAGGGTCCCACCAGTACCTGACTGACCACTCTGAATGCCAAAGCACTGTGGAACTTAGAAACATCTTAGACATCCCTGGCTGATGCAAAATGCTGCATGGTTATATGGTACTTCCAAGAAACAGGGAAGAGTTTAGGGCTACAAGAACCCATTATAA